CAGCTTGGTGTCATCTGCCAACTTGCTGAGGGTGCACTCGATCCCACTGTCTATGTCATTGAAGAAGATATTCAACAGTAACGGTCCCAATATGGACCCCTGCGGGACGCCACTCATCACCAATCTCCATCTGGACATTGAGCCGTTGACCACTACCCTCTGGATGCAACCATCCAACCAATTCCTCACCCACCGGACAGTCCACCCATCAAATCCATACCTCTCCAGTTTAGAGAGAAGGATGTTGTGGGGGACCGTGTCAAAGGCCTTACAGAGGTCCAGAGAGACGACACCTGTAGCCCTTCCCGTGTCCACTGATGTAGTCACTCCATCACAGAAGGCCATTAGGTTGGTCAGGCAGGACTTGCCCTTGCTGAAGCCATGCTGGCTGTCTCGAATCACCTCCCTGTCCTCCACGGGCCTTAGCATAGCTTCTAGGAGGATCTGTTCCATGATCTTCCCAGGCACAGACGTGAGACCGACTGGCCTGTAGTTCCCCGGGTCTTCCTTTTTTCCCTTTTTGAAAACGGGGGTTATGTTTCCCCTTTTCCAGTCAGTGGGAACTTCACCGGACTGCCACGACTTCTCAAATATGGTGGATAGTGGCTTAGCAACCGCATCCGCCGGTTCCTTCAGGACCCGCGGATCACTCTCATTGGGTCCCATGGACTTGTGCACCTTCAGGTGCCTTAGATGGTCTCGAACCTGGTTTTACTTAAAGACTTATTTTTTCTAGCCCTTTGAGTATGGAAAAAAAGCCAGAGGGTCCTTGGGCAAATGAAGCTTGCAAGCAAGTTTATTAACTGCATTAAGACTGCTGTAAGCAGCATTTATATGTATATTCACAATATGAAACTCTGTGTGGAGAGACAGGGTGAGGACATACCATGCAGATCAATAAGGGGATTAATGCATACAGTCCTGATCCGGCTGAAGGGATAGCATTAGAATATAAGGTAGTGACTGTTTTGCCAGCTGTCTGACTTCTAGCACTGCATTACAGAGTTAAATGGGACTTTCAAAATGACGTTCCTCTCAGTAACACTTTGTACTCACACGGAACTTTTAATCTTCAAATACAGCTTTACTCAAGCTTTACGCAATGCAGCCACACCTGAGGTAGAGTGCAGCAACTGGCTGGCAGTGATTAATAAGTCTGAGAAAGAAAGCAGCTTCTGCTGATAAAACTACAGGGTAGCAGGTCCATCCTAGGCACTGGCACGGCCCCGTGCAGCTGCAGACTGCGTAGCAAAACTGGCCTATGTCAGAGGTCTGGAAAGCTAGGCTAGGCACTGCTCCTAAAGGATGGGGGTACGTGATGGTAGCTACTGGCAAGCAGGGTCTCCCAGCAGTTGCTACACCTACCATTTCTTTCATCCTCTTTTCTCTTGCTCTTCCCACTGTGCTGCTACTCTCCCTCCCCTTCCTATGGCTGTAGCATTCCCCACCACCAAGAGGGATTCAAACTGAATTTTTCAAAGAATTGTCAATCTGGCTCCACAAGTCATTTTGGCAGGTTATGGAGATGTTCAAAAGTTTTCAAAACTTCCATAGTAAGATGTTGTAAAAATGTCTCTTCCCCTCTCTGTTTTTCTTTCTTTTTTCTATGATGGTTAAAACTTTTGAATCAAGAGAGAGAAATTTCAGCCCTACAAGATATAAAAATACTGGTCCAAAATGTACCTAGACCACAGCAATACTAGGTCTGGAAGAAACAAAGCTCTGTGCAATCTCTATTACATGTAAATGGTTACAATACTGCTTTCCTGTTTGGGTAATATACTCCACCTTCCTGAGTAAGGGTTCTTCTTAATATTGATTTAATTAGGGAGGACAGCATTAAACATTTATGCCATCAGAGCTGAAACGTGAGGCTTCTACCCGCTCTTGTTGAAGTTAGCCTGCTTTGCTTGCTACCCAGGCTTACCTGGCCTTTGAGTCAGACGAAAAAGAGAGCAAGAGCATCTGAAGGGCTAGAACTCTTGCGAGAGGAACATGTGAATTCCAGGCCTTGCTTCAAGGACTTTTTTCCCTGAAAACATCACGTAACTATCTTCTAAAGTAGCTCTCAGAGAAGAAAAGGTGCTTAGGTAAACATCCTAGCAACCTGACTTTAAGTCACATTAGTTCTGATACAATGAGTTTGATGCCTAAAGCAGTTTCTTGGAGGAAGCAATGACTGGTGAAAAAATCTCACAGAATAGCTTCAGGAACATCTTGTAGAAGAGGCAAGTGAGTCTGGAGAAGTGAGGGTGGGAAGAGCAGGCGGGCGAAGGGATCTGAGCCAGTTCTGATAATCTCTGAAGCCAGAAGTCATAGGAAAATAGAGAAGACTCAGGGCAGGAGATCAATTGGTGGGTTTCTGCACTGGGTCTAAGTAGAGCAGAGACACTCAGGGGATCAAGACAAGGGTTTACTTGTAACCATCGGTCAGCTGAAAAAGTAAACACGGAGGACCAGGAGGAATTTCCACGGGGCTCACTTCATGACCAGCCAATGAGAGAGGAAAGACAGACATAGACAAAGGGCGAAGGGCACTCCTGCTGCAAAGACTCAGTAGGGATGGGACAGGAGGAATCAAGCCTGACAGAAAGGGCTGAGTGTGGGAGCAAAGGCAATCGCTGAAAGACCATGTTCAGAAAAGGGGAAAAGGATTGAGTGGCTGTATCACTCTTTCACCAGTTCCAGCCTCACAGGTGACCACAATCCACCTTCTTTCAGGGAACCAGCAACCATGAGAGATGATTCTGCAGCAACTTCTTTATTAACTTTGATAGGAGACAGTCCTCCCCTTTCCCTGAATCTGTTTACCTGTCCTGCATACCGCAGAGAACAAACTGTAGGAAAGGACAGTGAAACACGGTGGGTGTGCAAGGTGAGACACTGCCCTTCCCGGGCTCCCGCGGAAGACACTTCTCCTTGGCCAAGCAGAGAGGAGTGGTGGCACCTCGCGGCCGCAGCAGGGAGCAAGCAGGAGCAGCTGACAGCTGCTTGAGTGAAAAGTCTAGCGACAGAAAAGCATGAAGTCACAAATTACATCGCCGTGCCTCCTTCCGGCCTCTTTCCAAACTGGTCCCGCAGGCCAACACTAAGTGGAGAAATAGCCGTCTTGGAAACAATCACAACCCCATGGCACCAGAGACATGCTCGCTCTGGCACGGGGTCTGCAGCCATCCAGCAAGCTTTCTGCCAATAAAAAGAGAAGCAGCGCTGCCTCCGAAAGGAACAGAAACAGTTGTTCTTCACTGACATCTATTGACTGCAGTGTTTTAACTGCAAAGCTCTGCACAAGAATTAGGCATTCATTTTTGCAGGATGCTGCGGGGCTCAAAAGCAGGGAATCAGACACAGGTTTGAAGGGAGCAGGTCTGTGACGGTCCTGACGCATAGCCTGCTTAAGAAGTCCTTCCTTTCCGACTGCCAGCATCTACAAGGATGTACCTGGGAGTGATCAGTCTGCACCACTGACAATCTACTAGCAGCCACAGTAGAGACGGGATGATGGGACAGATGATGGCATTCATATGTAAGCAAGTATTAATGCTTAGGAGTAACAAAAGCAGACTTTCCTTTTCTGCCTGCAAGGCCTTGCACTAAAACAAAGGATAACTGGGGTCTGTTGTTCTCTGTCATTTGTGACCTTGGCCAACTACTTAGATCTAATGCAACAGCCAGGTAGGTATCACTGTGCTGCTCAAACTGCAGTTAGTTGCCTAGCTACTTAAGAGGGATGACAAATTAATCATTCTACAGCATTGCCTACTGGCTAAATTAAGGATTTATGTACATTACAATAAAAAAAAATTTAAAAAAAGCACAGCAGGACTTCACAGGCAGGTGAATGAAGCGCAATATAAAGCTAGGTTGTATATCTCTGTGCTATCCAAGCTCAGACACCAATGACGGCAGCTTAATCGAAGCAGCCCAGACTTGAGTCCCCCTGCTTCTCAGCAGGGGCATCAGTAAACCACAGCACAGATCCACTGCAAGGCACAGATCCAGTTAGCTCGTTGCTCTCTACATTGCCATGCACTGGCTGCAACTTCATCCTGAAAACCGCTGAAATCTCTTGGCTTTCATTATAAATCAAATGTGTACCCTCTTTAAACAGACAAACAAACAAGAAACCTGGGGAGCCTCACTCTTATGAGCTGCAAGGTGCTCAATGATGTGATGGTAAAAACCTGGCAGTGTATTAAGCATACAAGAGCAAGAAGTAAAAAGCAGCACGGCTTGCAGACAGCCCACAGTTGTTTTTTTACAGTGAGAGTGCACAAAGACACAAGGATGTCAATATACTGATGTGGCGAGTCAGGACTAGGGCTTGTTTGCAAGTCATCAGAACTATTGCCCAAAAAACCTGTTCAATACTCCAGTCTGAGGAAATCTTTAAGTTCATTAAGTCAAATGAATGGATGTGTTTTATATTCATCTGCATCGGATTACTTCATCCCATTCTCAAGCTTTTTAGACCAGGCTTCACCTAATCAATCACAACACGTCGGTTGGGCATCACTGATCAGAAGGATCCACTGGTGACACATCCTCTTTGAACTTAAGACTGTGTTGCTGTGGACAAGATGTAACCAGGAAAAAAAGGTAGGAGAATAAAAGTAGTCAAACTCTTAAATGGGCTGTACAGGCAACAAGAAGTTGTGCAACTACAGCCTTAGTTAAAAGTTACATCCCTGGAGAGACTATCTCCACATTTAACTTTAATACAAGAGTGGCCATACTAGCCCTGACACACTTGTCTGCAAGAGTATGTGAACAAACAGGACAATCACGTGACATTTTCCTGAATATTCTCCCCACCTCCAATTACATTTTGTCCAAGAACTTCCTAAACAATTTACTATTAGTATCTATGACCGATGGTTGCCGATTCAGCTGATGTCATCATAGTTTACACGGTTCTGTATGCACTTTTGCCCTATTTTTAATGAGTTTTTAAGATCAGATGATTAATTCCTATCGGTAATAGTAATGCCATGTCTTCCTCCTCACTGTGTCAGAGCTACACATTGATGTTTTACAATGAACCACCGATATACATTGTGAAATAAGGATAAAAATGCACTCAGGTATTTCCCATACAAGAAATAGAAGGAAGAAACCAAGGTTCAGAACCAGAGGAACCATATCAGACATCAGACTTGGGGAACACATGGCCAAAGGCTGTTTTAAGTGTGCTGAGGGTTACTAAATGCCTGTAAGCCACGTCCAGCTTTAGAAATCCATGAGCTGCAAATGTTCTGGGGCCACAGGAAAACTGGAAAGAGCTGCCAAATACAACATGGCAAATTTGTATTCCTCAGACATCTACTTTTGGTCACTGCTAG